CGCCTACCCGCTGGGACGTCCTCCCTCGCCCATCCGACCTCCCGCGTCCTTCACGCTTATCGCATCGAACGTGCGAGCAAGTCGTCGCGTCCCTCGCAACTCCTCTCCCGCAGCAACACACCTAATCTCAGCAAGAATCCGTATCGACCTGCCTGTTCTCACCCATCGCTCTCCCCCCAATTCAAGCCCGTCTTCACCGGTCTCCATCCAACGCACCCCGCCATCGTCCGGCCGTCGCCGCACCTCCAATCCCCAAATTCCCTCGCATCGCTCGAGGATGTAGGGTCGCGACTTCTGGGCGCGTGCTCATGCGGGGCTTGTGCGCACCACGCCCACGTGCCGCGTCGTCCGCTCTGCCTTCCCTCCCTAAGCCTTCCCGTCCGGCGGCGTCCCTTCGCACTTCCCTTTCCTTTGTACGTCCCGCATCCCTCCTCCTCACGCTCGGAATCCCCGTACCCTACACGTATGTATATTTGGTCCAACTGCATTCACTCCAAACCTTTCGCCCCCGCGATTTACAACGTCAAAGAACCTGGGAAGAAAATGCAATACCTTGAGACCCGTAGAATCCCCAAGCTCCCCGCTGTGAATGACTTCGAATAAACTCGCCACGTACGCTTATCGGTTCACTGTTGAGAACATATTCCTCCCTGCATCTCTCTGATTCTCAGCACATGAACGAAAGAATCGGTACAGAGAAAACGAGCCACAAGGGTGTCGGGCCGACGGGTCCGGGTGACTCGGCAATTTGCACCCCTATTGCACAAGCTTCAAGCTGCAAGTACATGCCAATGCATAATGGAGCAGAGGATGTATTCAGGCCATTCTTATGAACTATTTGTGGATAAGCAAGGCATGCACGTTCCCCTCGCGCTTTCCCCTCCTCTGACGTCCCTGTTCCCGCACGCTCGCTTCATCGCTACAATTTACCTATTAGGGACCCTCCTCGACGAGTGTGCGGCGCGCGCGACAAGGTCCTACACGATCTGAGATCTTCGCTCTCTCCCGTCTCTGCATGCTCCCACGTAGTAGAAGTTTTCTGAGCTTTCAACCAGCACTGTCCCCAAACTGTCCCGCAGATCCTGTGCCAACTTCAAGTTACCCGGGCTATATATTCAAGCATTGGTATACAGATGCAAACACATTTCGAACTTGAGTTCCCACGGCTGAAATTGGACGACAAGAAGAGAAGCGGGACACCAATGTTACGTTTCTTCCTCGACGCAGGGAGCGAATCAATGGCACTGTAACATGAACTCCGATTCCTTATCAAGCCAAACTGCTGTAAACCAGAAGCAATGGTTTGTGTAGGGCATGTACTAATCTGCTCCCAGCGCCAGTAATTCTCGTATTATGTACAGCGGACATGCCTATAAGCTTCAAGTACTCAACGCGCGGTCCGAAATTGAGGGGTAGTCAATTTCATTTTTGAGAAGTGCTCGTGGCCGGTTTGTGCATCAACACGAGCTTTGTTACAATTTTGACTGCCTATGTTCGCTTTGTAGATTTCGGAAAACTTGGGCGGCCACATCGCGTGGTTTGATCGCAGGAAGCTAAACAACCAGGATTATTAGGTGCGGAATTGACCAGATCCAGCACTCGCACATAGTGACCAACATCTTCTATCATAGTCACCGACGCCAGTTGTGGACGGAGTTGCTGGGTATTGCGGTCGATAATGTCATATACGTCCGGCGGCCTAGCGGATATCAGACAGTAGTAGAAATCAGATCTCGAACATGAACGCGAACCATATGTCTCGCTTTGTGGCCGCGATGATGTGCGTGGGTAGAATATCAAGGATCGTGCGCAAAAAGGGGACGGCGTCAAGCTGTGTGCCATTATCGACGAAGCATGCAGTTTCTTGCTCGACAGTGGTCTTTGTTGTGATATATCCAGGTCGCTGGGGATCTGGAAGAAAATAGGTATCCTGTTGTGTGACATCAGTGCCGTTCGCGGGGGAGTAAGTTGTGATCGACCACACTTGCCTCGATAATTCGCAATACATCGGGAGAGAAGGATTTCCAGGGCAAGCGCGTTGCGAACCACTCCATTGCAGCTTTCTTCGACGGCCAACTTGATACACGCCGCGCATTTGACTTCTTGACCCGAGGATACAGGACTGTTGTGAAGAATGGCCACACCTCGCGTGCAACAAGGGGTGCTTCCACGAGATTGAGAGATTTTAGAGGGATTGGATGACCATCGCGTAGCCCATAATCCATCGCTAGAATCCTGACCAGGTCCGCAAACATGTCTAGAAACTACCAGATAAGAAATTTGCCCCGACTCACAATGAACTGCCGCCTCCCGAGTATCCAATTCCAACAAGGTCGTTACGTTCGGAGGTGGAGAGAAAGTCAGAAGTGAGAAATTTGTGGATTGCGGTCGCATATTGAAGACTTGGGACTAGGCGAGAGGTTGTATTGTAATCATCCAGCAGAGAAGTGCCAACTCACATTGAACGGCGTAGTGCTTTTTCAGGATCTCAGCATTGATGAGAGCCGGCTCGCCGTGGTTGGGACGTTCGATTACCCAGACCGAACGAACCTTGACAACTTGAGAGGAAGATACGGCAGAAAGGGCAAACAGCTCTTTGATGATTGGTACCCACGTCTCCTGCGCTGTAAGTCATTTTGAGTACATGGGATAAGACTCGAGATTCAGGACGCGACGTACAAAGAGCTATACCGCCTGCTATTACAAGGCAAACAGAGGTATCGGTACCGGATTCACAACTAGAGTCGCTGCTGTCGTCCATGTTATGATAGCGCGTCGCAATGCATTCCAGCGGGCGATCAAAGCAGTACGAGAACTGAACAGAACTTGATTTCAGAGGATGCAAGAGCGCCGGAGACAGCATCGCGGGGGCGATCCTAAGAACACGAGATGTTTGACTCGGAGGACGAGCGAGCACAGAACTTCGCCGTTGCACCTTGGTTGCACCCAAGATCGTGTGTGGGCGCTTGCCCCCATGATCGCCGTTGTCGGCTGCGGAGTTTACGCAGGTCGAATTCAAGATGGATCGCCTTTGGAATCTGTTGGAAAAAAAAAGCATAGTGCGTCGCAGGAGAGTTGGGCGAAGGCCCTCGAAGTCTAAAATTTTCTCAAGCACGTACAAAAATTACAACTGTCACCGTGCTAATCACAGCGCTCAGAACATGGACAACGCCTCGAAATCAAAGTCAGTCCCAGCATCTGCATTGATCTCGCCTGTAGGAGACATTGTGAGAACGCAAGTGAGCTCTTGACCCAGCTCCACCTCCCCCCCAATAGCGAAGCGCCAAAGCATGGGATACGCCTCCATTATCACTGACCCAAAATCTTCCAGGTCCGCCGCATCGTCCAAGTCGTAGCGAGTAGCAGAAGTTTCATGCTTGAAGCCGGCAACATTCCGGACTTGGAGTATCAATGTTTCGAGTCTGCGCAATTGCCGGAGTGCTGGGATGGGACTCGTTTCTATGATGTTGGCCGCGTTCTAGTGCGAGAAAGTAAATCAGCTTGGACAGCGACGCAGCAGAGGCGCGGCGATTCGTACCCTTTTCCTAATCTCAGTGATGCCTAAGTGCACCAAAGCAGGCAGGGAGGTCGCGAGTGATGTGAGAATAAACGAGGCATGATAATATCCCCAGTCTTTTGTAGAATGTCGTCGGAGATTCAAAATTGTCAGGGACCGATCGCACTTCTTCAACTTTACAGTAAAGGGATGGAAGCCCGTGTCGAGCCGCTGCAGCGGACGCTCCGCGGGAGACCGGCCAGGGAGAGGGTCCGGACAGCGACGAGATTTGGAAGGAGCTCAGTACTGGGAGGCATAGGGTATCGTGCATGCGGCAATACAAGGACACGAATGTCTGTCTGAGCCTTCAAAAAGTCTGTAAACTCGACGTCTCTATTCGTGAAATACTCAGGTAAGGCGGAAGAGGCACCCGTTGATGATCCAGCCAAGGCAGTTATCCTCCCCGGGATGCGAAACAACTTTCAGTTCCTTCAGGTTGACGGCGCCTGATCTGCGTCGCATCCTCAGCGTCGAATGTGAGGGCTTCCGGGAGCGCGTACACACGTTGGGGCAGTGGGGGAGCCGTGTGACGGTGTGAGCCCACGACTTTACAGCGTGTATGGTGCCGCGGCGGTTGAGATCGACCGAGTGGTGCAGGATACGCTCGGCTCTTGCTCGGCTCGACATCGGAAGACGGGCCGGGGGAGTTCGACAGAGGAGTCTTGCAGCTCATTTCACAGATTTCAGAGGGAAGTGTGGAGGCCATGCGGCGAGACCGATTATGCGATGTCCAAAGCACGCTGGCGAGGTTAAAGAGATAAGTGCGTCTGACAACGTGGCTGTGGCGGTGCCCGGGCTTGTTCAACTTGCTTTTCGCTGTGTCGGCGTGCTATTCCTTCCAAATTTGTGATAGAACGACCTGTTATTGCCCCAGGGTCATCCGTCTTGTGCGCTCAAAATTACTTACCACCAGCACTGGGCCCCCGAAGCTGCTGTAAATGTTTTTCGGTTGGTCCGCAAAAACCAACAAATCCAGTCTCGAGACCTTTCGGCGTTTTTGGTCTCACAAGGGCAGTCTCGATGGGGCAGCTGGTCTCCGCTGCTTCTTGAAGCTCCCCGGGGGATGAAACACCACCGTGGTGGCTCTTCAGCCAACTTCGTCAGGGTTGTCAAACACGGGGGAACGACAGGCCGAACTTCAAGCGAAGTAGACTCTGCAGCCGAAGTCGAAAATCCAGGTTTCGCCTAAGAAGCTCCAGCCAACCTCCGAGCAAACTGGCATCGACAGCGGCGATGTGTTCGAGTCAACGATATATATTGAGGATGTCAAAGAGAATTCAAAGAGTCCGATGCTTTTCGGCATTTCAAGCCAAAATTCAAACAGGCGTCGATTTGTGTCAGACTCAGGACGAGAAGCTTTATGTTGCATTCCAATGTGTTCGCATGAGGCATGATGAGAACGGGGCAAAAATACATTACAGGCAGAGGCTGTGAGCACCAAAAATGTCCAGGGCCAGAATCGAACTGACGTCAATCGCGTATTGGTCACAATCAACAACCACAAGCGAGCATACTAACCACTATACTACCTAGACCGTTGTTTAAACTCAAACGTGAATTTACACTCCTCTATTACAACTGGACGCAAGAGGTTGAACTTTGCCACAAAGTACGAGGACAGGCAATGAAATGGTGCGCTAGGGCTGGGGGGGACTGTGAAGAAGGAGAATGGCCCCGGTATACTGTAGTTCCAATCGGACGCAAACTTAGGTCGAAGCAATTCAGCTCAACAAAACCAGAAGCTGCCGTGTGTTGGCCGTTGGTTGGACGCGAGTGTTGCGATGGGGAGCGAGCATGAATTAGGGTCCTCAGATATATACAGAAACTATGCGGGTTATACGGTTATATACCTGGATGGTACGGAGGGCCAGCAGGCTCGCTGAATCAGAATGGATATTATAATTACATCTAGTCGGCTGCGTCGTTCAAGTTGTCGGAGTCCCCATCATCGTCAAACTCGGAATGCTCGTCATCGCCGTCGAAGTTCTCGTCCCAGTCGAGGTGCTCCTCGTCGTCATCGTCGAATATACCACGCTGTGCTGGACAAAAGTCAAGTGAACACGGGTGGCCACGAGTTTTGGGACGTGGCGACGCGTGCCCACGTGTGGTGATTCGTGATCACCCACTTTCACTTCGTTCTCGACGCGTGGCGCGACGCGTCGAACTTGAGCAGCAGGTTGGAGGACCGCTGTAGATGATACAGCCCGATGACCGGTGGATCAGCCGCAGACGGGGCTGCACTGTGATCATAGGTGCGTCCAGCCCGCGATGGCACATAATCCAATGGCACAGATCCCTTGCGATCGGTTGCGAAGGGATGTGAAGTCTGCCCGAATGCCCCGGCAACGTGAAGCCAGGGTCGAGGACAAGAGGATCGGATGGACTAGGAGAACAGGAAGTCCAAGTGTCAAAGCCAAAAGCCGAAGGGCAGTAAAGCAAGTGGGTCGAAGCAAGGTCGGAGATGTCGACAATCCATGACTCCGAAAGGGAGTCTGGACTCATGTAAAGAGGGATGAGGAGTGAGTGAGAGCCAAGTCAGAAAAAGTGAGGATGATGGTCGGGCCCAAGAGTTGGCCTGGATTGGGTTGCCAAACGGAACATTCTTCGTCGCGAGGCTGCGTTTTCGACTGCAAACATTAATTTATGTAAGCGCGGTAGATGAAACATACCGAAGATGCTGGAGGACTTGTATCGAGTCCGTCCGGCGTCCACGGACACCGACGTCGCCGTCCTTTTCAGCGGTTTGAAGACTCGACTCCGTCCGTCGAGATACACTCCACCTTCCTCTTTAGTGGTTTGGGACACTAACGATCTTGGGTGACTGGTATCCAGCCCGCCGACATATCGGAGGTGCTGAACATCATCCACACGCTGGCCCTGCCTAGGATTTCGGCCAGCATCCAGGTCTTGGACCACCATTTCTAATAGGGTACCTGCGCGAACGACCTTGAAAAAATTACTAAGCTCTCTCTCCTCCGAGGCAGCCCACAGAACCTTATGAAGAAGCCCATTAGACGCTTTGATTTTCTCAAAGAACCTCAAGATGATCAAATGGCAACGTCGAACTTCCTCCTGGATGCGGGCAGCGACCGATTGCGCGAGAGGCGTCAAATACATGGCTTCGTGAAAACGTATGAACGTCAGGTTCGCAAGATCGGTCCCCAGCGCTTTAAGCTCTTTCTCTGTCTCGTCACATCGAGACGAGCGCCTGCCCTTCCTGAGCAGCGAGATGACCTTGACGAGGAGCTGCGCGGTGGATACGATGTCACCAAAGGAGCCGAAAGCGAAGGCAACGACGGGCATGGCCGGAAGAGATGAGAGAGGTCGTGAGACAGTGAGAGGCTGTAGAACTTCTTGGAGATGATCGCCACTCTACGTGCTTGATCATACGGATTCGGGATATTGTTGTTACAGCGCGGGACAGTGAGCATCGCATTGTGAAAAGTATTGTCCCGGAAATGCCATTGCATAGGATTGTGGTACAAACAGAATCACTTTGCCGTTTGTGAGCTTTGCATTTTTAAACGCGATAAAGATGAGTCCAAACTAGGCGAGACCATACGAGGTATAGTTCTTGTTCTCCCCGCCGAGGTAGGTGTCCATTACTGCGCGCGCTGCCCAGGAGTGGCCCGTTGATTGCATCTGTTGTGCGCACTAACGTATTCACGCTCAAAAAAAAAGGAGCATTGACGAAACGAGTTGGAACCAGCGCAGGTTGTTCGATTACGAGCGGAGGAATTCAATCAACCAGTGAAGGTCTCGCTTCTGGCGCCGTCCACGTCTTCCAATCTCAACGAACGGAACAGGTCGATCATGAAGCTTTGAAGGCTTTCTGGTACACCGATTATCGGCAAGTTCTTCAGTGTGCGCGCTCTGAGAGGCATCGAGCTCGAGAAGAATACGTTTCTGACCCGAAATTTGCACGTCGGGCTCCACGAGCGTCTCCGGAGGATGGTGTGTCATGAACAGAGGGGTCAAAGCACCGACAAACAACCGCTCTGAGCCCAATTCGGTAATCGCATTTTAGCGGCCGGCTCCGGATCCTCCAGTCCATGTGCAAGTATTCGCCAACCTCCAGACGGCGCTGTGATAGGAATATAATTAGTGGTAAATAATACCAGGGACGCTACATGGACAGCAAAGGGGGGACGTATACTACAGACAACATTCTAGGTCACACTAGTGCAGAGCCTTGATTTCGCCCCTGCGGCCAAGTAGAAATATTTGCGTCCATTGCGCGGCGAGCTGAGCCCAGCAAACCCTCGAGCCCGAACCTCACTTTTTGCCTTTCCCCTTGCGTTGCTTTGCTTTACTCGGCGAAGCGGGTGCTGCAGCCGCGGGCGCAGGAGCAGCGGTAGGGGCAGCAGCGGTGCTAGCAGCGACAGCAGCTGTCGGCTTCGGTTGACCGGCGACGGTCCGCTGCGGAGGAGGCGGCGCCTTGCGCCCCCCGAAGCCGTGGAAGAGGTTGATGGCAAACGACGCGACACTTCCAGACACGAGCATCAGGATCCAGCGCGGGACGCGCACGATGAGGAGGTACATCTTCGTCATGTAGATGGCGAAGTACTCGAGGATGAATTCACTAGACGCACACAATGAGCACCGTATACACAGGGAGGAGGAAAGGGTGACGTACCGGCTGCCGCCTGGAGCGAAGGCACCGGACCACGGCGGAGTGGCGATATACGCCTCGCGCTTGACGAATTCGCGGAGAGCGCCGTGGGCGACACGCAGCTGGTTCGGGCGGTAGAATCGTAGTGTCTGGCCGCGGTCCTTGAGAATTACAATTGACGGGGCGCTGCGCAATATCTTAGGGATACTCGTTGTGAATATGAAAGAAGAAACACGCACGTCCAGAGACTCCATTTCGTAGTGACATAAGTAACATTAAGGTAGTCGATGCGCGCCCAGCGGACGTGCGGGAGGTCGCCCGCGATAACCGTCTCATTGAATGACTCGTCAAACGCCTGGTCAATGAATTTCGAGATGCCCTCCTGGCGCGAGCTAGTCGAGGAACTGCATCCGTTGTCAGAGAATAAGCCAGTGGATAAGGACTTGGTGCATACACGACAATGACCCAGACGCGCTTCTCCTCTTCCTCCTCGGTCAAGGTCTCATTCACCACCAAGTCGGCGTAGTTGTTGTCCGTGATAAGAGGAATTCGTGGGTCCCAGGGACTAAGCGCCGCCGCCTCGAGCCGTTCCGTTATATTAATGCCAGCTTTTTCAAGCAGTCCCTTCACAGGGCCGGACTCGAGGACTTTGTTGATATCCAGCAGACTGGAGAGCGAAAAGGCCTCCTTCGATTCTGCTTTTTGCCGGGGCGGTATACCACCGGCGGCACTGGGTACTGCCAAAGGCTCAGCAGTGACGGCCTGTCCTGGAACCCACCCAGCTGAGAAGTATTGCGCATTTGCCGTCGCGGCCAGAGCAAGCACGGCGAAGAACTTCATGGTGGTTGAGGCTAAGGAACGGAACACGCAACAGGCACACACCGGGCGGCCGATAGCAGTGACAGTCGGGTGATCGGGATCACTGCAAATCTTGTCCTCAACCATTTACATGCTCGGGTTAAAACCCGCTGGATCCCCTTCTGCTGATACGCTACTCATTCAGCGTCTTTAGTCGGTATATCATCGCTGCTGGGGCTCGTCAACATCCACTTCTGGCGGTTTTGTTAGCGTTGCTGAAATTTCATTGCCGATGATGGCGTAATTCCACCGCAATCTGCTCTTGTGCCCTAGAGTCCTGGACCTTTTTCAGTATCTGGGCCGTCAAAGCTCGCCGGTCTGTTCTTGCGTCTTTGACGGGACAGTACATTGCACGATGATGATCCACAATTTGCTGCTCCGTATCGGCCCGGGAATCCCTTTCAACTTCCTGGACCCTTGGGTCAATATATGCTCGCCGGAAATAACCTCTACGTTGTCCGCGGGCGATGATAATCGGTCTCTAAAGCACCGGGCCGGAGATGATCACGACCGGCGACACGACCGACAGTGATTGCGTTTACCTCCCTTCTTCCTTCATGGTCTTGAATTAAATCTGGAGTATGCCCACCCCAACTTCGAGAACTGGAAAGCTGGAGCTGTACGACCTCGTTGAAGACGTTCTTCTCCTCATTCTCGCAGAGTGCGATATCCTGGATGTCCTTGCTATCGGTGCAGTCAGTTCACGCTTCGACGCAGCGCTCCTTGTCTCTTACTTACCCAGGCCAGCAAATATCTACACCGACTGGCGGGCTCCCACGACGTCTGGGTCTTGCTGGTGACAAACTTGGCACAGCGCGGTTTCATTGACCGTCAACCAGACGACTTCAAAGACCTTAACACGGAACAGCTTATCGGTCTGGTGAAAAGAATGTTGCGAGGACCGCAAACCTGGGTGGCTAATCCTGCCAAAAGCCTCGTTAAGCGGAGCGCAAGTACGCTCAGCAAGCTGGTGCGCAAACCATCAGCAAAGCCTCCGGCTAGGGAACCTCGGCGAATTGTTTTGCATCCAGAAATTGCTGCGGGTCCTGAGATGCCGTTTGAGGG